TTCATATAACCAGCTGCAGCTACTCAAATTCTTTTTTCTATGCAAGTACTTAATGTGTAGATGCCTTGCTCTCTATAGTATGTAGACATCATATCTAGATGAGTTATGATACTTGATCATTTCAGATTCATTGTAATATTTCAGTGAATGTATAGTTCATAATTATATAGTAGGCTCTCCATTTGTTAGGGTTAGGGACACAGGATCCTTGATAAATGGGAAAACTATGAATAAAGCACACTACTTTTTTCCTGAGAGAACATTTCCCTAGGAATCCTCCAGTGCCATCCATGTTCAAGACCTTGACTGTACAGTTGCAGTGAAGGACCTAGAGATTCCTAGAGAGAAGCCATATTATTCTAGATCAGTGGTTCCCAACCTGTGGGTCCCCAAATGTTTTGGCTTTCAACTCCCAGGAATCCTAACAGCTGGTAAACTGGCCGGGATTTCTGGGAGTTGTAGGCCACAGGTTGTACCAAGAACTAAAGTTGTTTCTACATAAAGTGTTTAGTCACTTTGTATACAGAATTTCTTCCAACCTGATATGATGAGACAGCTCAAAATCACATTAATTAATTAAAAAGAGAAAGTATTAATTGAACGCATATTGTCACTCAGGATTGCTCATCTAGGTGGGTTTCTTTCTTTGAGTAGCAAGGAGTATTAATAATAATTCTAGATAGATTTTTTTTTTAAAAAAATACACCTTAAGTCCAAAGAACAAAAATAAATCTTCCAACTTGAAGTATTTTTTGAAGTTGTACATCATGAATAATGTTAGGTGTCTTGCTGAATAATCATGTAATGTTTGATCTGTCAGTGGGTTTTTAACTGGTTGGATTCTGCAAGTGGCCAGCTCATGTCTGAAATTACTGACACGTAAGAAAGGAAGAGAGCTAGTGTGGCATAAAGGTTTAAGTTGTTGGGCAAGGTCTCTGAAAGTCCACAGAGCCTCAACCTTAAAATGGGAACCACTTTCTTTCAATCACTCTGCAAGGTTTTGCTCATTTGTTGATCCCAGTGATCCTTTTAAAATCCTAGAAAAATTGTGTAGGGCAGTGATTCTGTGAGTCCTCAGGTGTTTTGGCCTACAACTCCCAGAAATCCCAGCCAGTTTACCAGCTGTTAGGATTTCTTGGAGTTGAAGGCCAAAACATCTGGGGACCCACAGGTTGAGAACCACTGGACTAGGGCAACATCTTATGGTTAGGACAATTATCAGGGAGTGATATTTTGATAAAACAAGTAATTATCTCAGAGAAATACAAGCTTTGTAGTAAAGCTCACTCCAAAACATGAGAGTTCACGTTTATTGAGCACTGTGGATTCAGAGTTCATCATGGCAGTGCCTTTTAAAAAAGGATGTAATGTTAAAATGTTCCTGAGTAGATTTTCACTTTTCAAAACTTTTATTACACCTTCATTAACATTTAACAGGGCTGGCAAAGGGCAGATAAAGTTTCTGTCTGGGTTTGATTCAACCACCTGCTGATTATTCTGTTTGGATTTAAATGGAAAAGCAGGTTTGTCTGTTTCACTAAATGTTCAGTTTCAGTAAAACCCGAAATGAAAGGGATGTTTCTGAAACATAAAAGCACTTCTCTTTTGGCGATTTTCTCCCCTCTCGTCCATGGTCAAGGTGCATGAATGTATCCCCACAGCTGAAGCAACTATGCCATTTCTCCCTGTTTTGTTACACTGTGCTGTATTGGTCATTGCACAGCAGGAAATGAACCTGCCATACAATTGCAGCAAAGTGGAACATCACCCAAGAGGGACATATTCTCCCTTCTGTAACCTGTTCACATTGAGGTCACTATGGTTTCATTTGCCCTTAGCAATGTTGATACATAACCAGAACTGACTGAATTCAAGGTGATGTTATGTCATCATTAAATTTACTACTGTAGCCACTGAAACAGTGGGAAAAGAACACTGTTTAACCAGTTTACAGTAATCAAGGGGTTTGGGATTACTGGGACAGTCAATTTCTGAATCCCTTAGATTGAAGATAAAACAATAAATGGAGAATATTTGGCACAACCCTGTTCAAAGGCATGCTAAAGTTTTTTAATTGTAAAAAAAGCTATGAGAATAAGTGGTTAAATCCTGAAAACAGTCTACTAAGGTGCAAAATAGGTAACTCAATACATAGTTAAACAATTATTTTCTTGAACATTTTATTTTAATTGTAATATTAAATGAGAAATGAGAAGGAGCTTTAGTGAATGCAATATAAGGCCCTTTGAAGCTGTTTTTTACCTATCGTGTCTTGGCGTTCAGATTTAGGCATCTACACTGTAGAATTAATGCAACTTGATGCCACTTTAACTGCCATGTTTCAGTGCTATGGAATCATGAAAGTTGTAGTTTGTTATGGCACCAGTACTAATTGGCAGATAAGGCTAAAGATTTTGTAAAGCTGTCTTTATATAGAATCATGGAATTGGAAGAGACCTCGTGGGCCATTCAGTCCAGCCCCCTGCCAAGAAGCAGGAAAATTGCATTCAAAGCACTCCTGACAGATGGCCATCCAGCCTCTATTTTAAAGCCTACAAAGAATGAGCCACTCCACACTCCATAGCAACTCTCACAGTTAGGAAGTTCTTCAGGTGGAATCTCCTTTCCTTCCAGTAGTTTGAAGAATTTTTCCCGTGTCCTAGTCTCCAGGGCAGCAGGAAATATGCTTGCTCCCTCCTCCCTATGACTTCTTCTCACATATTTATACATGACTATCATGTCTCCTCTCAGCCTTCTCTTCTGCAGGCTAAATATGCCCACTCTTCATAGGGTTTGTTCCCCAAACCCTTGATCATTTTAGTTGCCATCCTCTGGACACATTCCAACTTGTCAATATCTCCCTTCATTTGCGGTGCTCAGAATTGGACACAGTATTCCAGGTGTGGTCTGACCAAGGCAGAATAGAGGAGTAGCATGACTTCCTTGGATCTAGACACTATATTTCTATTTATGCAGGCCAAAATCCCATTGGCTTTGTTAGCTGCCACATCACATTGTTGGCTCATGTTTAACTTTGGTGTCCACGAGGACTCTGAGATCTTTTTCACACATACTGCTGTCAAGCTAGGCATCTCCCATTCCGTATTTTTGCATTTCATTTTTTCTGCCTGTGGAGTATCTTGCATTTGACTCTGTTGAAGTTCATTTTGTTAGTTTTGACCCATCTCTCTAATCTGTTAAGATCATTTTGAATTCTGCTGCTGTCTTCTGGGGTATTGGCTAAGCTATCCCTCCCAATATGGTATTGTCTGCAAAGATGATCATGCCTTCTGACCCTTCAGCTAAGCCATTAATAAAGATGTTGAACAGAGCGGGCCCAGGATGGAACTCTATGGCACTCCACCCGTTACTTATTTCGACGATGAAGAGGAAGCATATAGGATATAGTAGTAATATTCCCTTTTATTCTAAAACCCTACCAAGATTCATGCTTAGTGTAATGAATATGGTCAACTCTCCACATTTGTAGGTTTTCCCTTTTATGGGTTTGATTGTATACAGATTTGATTAATATGTTTTCTCGAGGAATCTTGAACCTCCAGGGTGACTCTGTGTTCCATTTCCACCAAAATTGGTTTGTGCTGGAGGTATTCCTAGATATTCCTTGGGAGAACACTTCTCTAGGCATTTGTAGGTCCTCTAGAAGGATTTTATGTTCACTTTCTGGTAGAAGCTGAGTAAAGAGCATTTTAATTTGCAGTTTTCCCTCTTTTTGGGAGGTCCTGGGCCCCTAACCCCAGTAAATGTGGAGGTCTAATTGTATTGTGAAAATTATGTGGTCATGAGAAGGGAGTCATCATCTCCACTTCTTGCTTGCATACGGAAGGTTTTGGTCAAGAGAAGATTTTGAAGGGTGTTTTCATAAAGGTCTAAAACAGAAGAACACAGTATTGATATTGTTTTAACTATAGTACTGGTGTGTTGTACTTGAAAAGTTGCCTAAATCTGTCATTGATTTTGAACTTTAATTGACCAATGTATTGCCTAAAAATACATATGTGTACATCAACAATTAGTCCTGCAATAAATGTCTTGTTTGTTGTTAAATTAAAGCTATACTCATTCAAAACCATGCGGGGGAGGGGGGGGGCTGTGTAAAAAAAGATCCATTTTGTGTGTGAGCAGAAAAAGTTTGCCATTACTTACATAGTGCCACCCCCTGCTGCTTTATAAAATCCTCTGTTCAGTTGGAGCCATCAAAAGATTTTAAATTAATTTAATCTAATGTAACAACCCTAATTACAGTGGAGTTTTTTTTAAAAAAAATCCTTTCAAATATTCAGTCCTTTTCACTGATGAAATGCTTTCTTAAATAATCTCAAATGAATAAATAAACGGTTTTCCTACATAAATTTGTATAAATAGTATTCTGGATGTAAAAAAAGAAATATCTCTTTAGCTTGTTGCTATTAAGCCACACTTTCCTGTCCTTTTCTCATCTCGTCTCAGAAATGTAAAAGATGATATCAGTTTGTCCTGTTGATATTCAAGCCTGTTTTCTTTAAAATAAACTTCCCCATAAGATTGTAGATTTCTCCATTCCTGTTTGTTATCCTGTGAATACTTGGAGGATCAGCTGTGACAATCTATTACTGTTCTTGCTGTCAGGGTGGTCTTAAGTGAGCGCTTGAAGCTTTGAAATATTTCTTTGTCTCAATAGTTGATGGGTCTATACTATGACAGACGTAGTGTCTATATTTCAACCTTTAAAATATGGACTTAAGGACAATTTAAAAAAAACATTATACACTGCATAGTATTAGACTGCTTCTTGAATAATTTTGTATGGAGTGAATATGGTAGAAAAATAGCTACTGGATTTTTATCTGGGGTAAATTGTTTGCAGAAAAGCCTTGCCTGTAGCAGAATGTTTAATCATTTGTGTGCAAGAGAGAATAATTTCTATGGGTAACTTATGTGGGTCTGTGTTTTCCATATAATAAAGATAAAGAATGTCTATATTTCTGTTTGATTTCTAGCTGTTCCTTTTTGTGACTTGGAATTTTGAGCTCTACATGATTCCTCTGACCTTATTGCTACTGCTGGTGTGGAATTACTTCTTGATCGTATCAGGGAAAGATAACAGGCAACATGATACAGTAAGTGTCTTTAAAATGTGTCTGGGTGTTGGGGAACATTTCTGGACATTGTCTTCACAGAGATAAAACTTCAAATAATGAATGTAAGCCTGTTTCCATACTGCTTCTCCCTGCAGAAGATCTCATGGGTTCATCCAGGTTTCCTGCTTCTCCTCGCCGAAGTAAGTGAATGTTCAGTCAGGAATATCCATCAGGAATATCTCATAGCTTTGAATACTTTGTCAAGAAGGGACCTGGAAGAAGAATAACCTTTTGCAAAATCCCAAAGAGATGTGAAAAACACTTTTTGTTGAGTTTAACGGGATAAACTTTGGAGCAGCAACAAAAAAACACTTTTTTCATGAAAAAAGAGGCGTATTTGTATATGAACAAGAAGAACTTGAGGCAAAATCTGGTGCCCCAGCAACATGAGCTCACAGAAATGATATTTGTCTTGAAACTATTAAAAATCTGATGTTCTAGAAATGGAAAGGAGAAACTTTAGATCATGGAAAAAAGCTTACAAAATTTTAAGTATATGAAATATGAAATAAATAAAAACATATTTCTGCATTACAGTTATCTCTTCACATTTGCAAGTGTTAGGGCAAACATGGGCAAACATTGGCCCTCCAGGTGTTTTGGACTTCAACTCCTACAATTCCTTAGAGTCGGTAGGAAAAAGTAGGAAAACTGCAAATAAAATAACCCACGATTTTTTTTATCTGAACGAACACTTTTCTAGGAATCTTTAGGGTCCCCAATGCAATTATGTGGGAAAACTCTTGTGGAAGTTAACCAGTGAGTCATGCTAGAGGATCTAGAGATTCCTAGACAGAACACGGTAATGAAATCAGGGAATAATCAGTTCTGGGAAAGGAAAGCCTGCAAATGTGGCGGGTCGACTTTACATTGTTGACATGGAGCTTCCCACCAGTGTGGAAATCCTAAATTGTACAGATAGCAAGCTCTTTAACCTCAGCAGACTGAAAGCTAAAAATAAGGTAACAACAATTTCTGTTATAGAACTTCAATATACTGATGATAACGTAGTCTGTGCTCATTCAGAGGAAGACCTGCAAGCTACTTTAAATTCCTTCACAGAAGCTCATGAAAAGCTTTGCCTTTCACTTAATATAAAAAAAACTCAAAGTGCTGTAACAGCAGGCACAAACCAATCTTTCTTCAATGTCAGCAATACACTTAATAGTGTAATGCTAGAAAATGTTGACCGTTTAAACTCCTTTGGCAGCCAACCACTCCATGAAAATCGACAATGATACCAAAATACAACACCATCTCAGCTCTGAGAGTGCAACATTTTTTTTTGAATGAAGAAGAGAAGATCAGGAGGGATATCAAGATGCCTGTTTGCAAAGCTGTATTGTCCTTCAAACTCTATTGTACACCTGCAAATTGTGGACCATCTACAAATGTCACTTGGCTTCTGGAAAGATTCCAGCGTCACCTTCTAAAAATCCTGCAGATCTCTTGGGAAGACAAGTGGGCAAACATCAGTGTTTTGGAAAAAGACCACCAGCATTGAAGCAACAATTCTCCACCATCAACTTGGCTGGACTGGCCACATTGTTCAAATGCCATTGTCCAAAGGAGTTACTTTATTTTCAGATTAAGAATGGAAAACAGAATGTCGGTGGATAACAAAAGAGATTTAAAGATGAACTTAAAGCTAACCTTTAAAATATGGTATGAGCACCAAGAACTGGAAAACCCTGGCACTTAAGCATTGTCACTGAAAGTCAGATGTTACCAACAGTGCTATGGATCTTGAAGAGGCAGAAACAGAGGACAAAAGGGAGAGGAAAGTGCATCAAGCAAACCTTTTTCACAACCACCCTCTATCTGGAAATCTGTGTCCTCATTGTAAAAGACCATGTGGATCCAGAATAGGTTCTCATAGTCACTTATGAACCCACCACCAAGACTCAACCTTTGGACTACAGGACCCATGATGATTAATTGTATTCACCGTAACATTTGCAAACAGTATTACAAACTTGGTTTATTGCTAATGTCATTTGTTCATAAACAGTAGCTAAGAGAATCATTGTGTGTTGCAAGGGCTTTTGCATGGCATAGGTATGGCTGGCATTGTGCAAAAAGTCACATAGTAAATAAGGTGTGAGTCAGGTAGCTACATCACATTGTTTAAACAACCTGGTCCTGTATGTGTTCCATGCACAGCTGTGTGCATTTAACTTGAGGCTGGTTATGTGCAATACTGACTGGATTACTACCATTCTGTAAAAGATGGATGTTGTGTCTCAGTTACGCCATTTAAAGGAAAGCTTTTCTACCACAGTTCTTTGTGAGTGAAGCAGATGCCTTGTTGTGAAAATGACCACATAGACAGAGATATTAGGTTTATTGACTGGGGAGAATCTTCAGCTTGACCTAAAGTGCTTTCAGATGACCTGAGTGATTTTATACATCCTCTCTAGTCCATACACATTCAATAATTTTATATTATAATTACATATAAGCACTATAAATCAGCTGACACGCAAACACATATTGTGGTAAGATTGTGCAGAGACAAGAAGGAGGAAATGTAAATCAATTCCAGATTCTGTACAAATTCCTTGGTATCCCTAGAGTAGGAGCATTGGCTCTGGATTTAGTTCTATCCCAGTTATTGTAGAAAAAAAAACAATTTCTGAGCACCATTTCTTATGAATTATCATCAAAATGCAAATACATGCAAATCTCTTAAATAAAATGTTGGCTATAGGTATGTTTCATCAAAAAAGTGTTCATTGTAAGTATGATCTAGGCATAGCACAGAAAATATTAAGCCCTATGATTCTCTTGAAGTTACTATGTTATTGTAATTCTATCCAATAGAGATCTAACTTGGGGAAAAGCCCTCCAATTTTATATAGTAATAAAAGTGGTGTCATACAGGGAAACCATGCAGACTTGGATAGAGCTGCATGATAGTCTGGAGTACTCAATCTGGAGGTGACACTTATCGGTAGTGGAGTTTATTTAGAGAGTCTCTGTGAGTCCCAGTGGATAAAGTTGCATGTATTAGCATATTTCCATGTCTATAAATTTGCTTCTTCACATGCAGAGGCTAATTTGAATTTCAGTCATGCACCCAATTTACATATTTAAGAGTATCATTGATCTAATGATACTCAACTAAGATGTCAACTGCCTTCCATTATAATTGGAATGACATGGGCTCTAGAATTTAAGGTTCAACTGTCTCCCTAGTTTCCTTTCTGTGGTATGTGGCTCAGCATTGTTGCTTCAGCCATCTGGAGCTATTTTGTTGTGTTGGCAGCTTTTCTGCTCTCTTTCTGTCATGCTGTGGTTTAGTTTGAATAGGGTTAGTAGGTTGACTTTCCAGTCTTTTTTCCCTAAATGGGTAGGGTTGGACACAGAGCTCTCCAAAACAGAAGACCTTTGCATGAAACAGAGAGAAGGCTCATCAGGGAACAAGGAAAGCACTGGCAATGAGTGCCAGATAGACAGCCTGATTGTACTACACAGCAAAAATGACAAATCCCTGTAGGCAGGCAGAGGAGAGAGAAGTCTGGGAAGAAGTAGGTAGAAACTTTAATTGTAGGGCATATAGGCAGGGGGGAATTTAGCCTCATGTAAAAATTTTAACTCCAGGAGAGTAACTTGTAGTTCAGCAAAGGACAAGCTATTCCTGCAGAGCATTCCCACTTGCCTAAATGCCTGCTGGAGGCAGTGGCTCCCTGTAGTTTCCAGTGGATAAACTGGATAAAATTCCAATACCTTCCAAATATATAATTACATGGACCTCAGTCAAGCTGCTAATCAATCACAGCTAGAGTAAATCAGCCGAATCAATGGGATTTACACAAATGTAGATTCGGTATTCAGTGGTTGAGTAATGTGCCTATTTTATCTAAGACTAGTAATTGGATTAAGACCACTATTTAAATGTTAAAACATATTTAAAAGTATGTCTTTGAATTAATACATCCATGTACAACTGTGACAATTTCACAACAATTTGTGTATGGAATTTTGTCTCCATAGACACCTACATAGTTTATCTTTGCTTCTATTATTTGCTTCCTAATTGAAGCATTGGGTATATTTTGCTGCTTATAATTTGGCAGGTGCAGATTACACACAACTGAACATTCTCATACCATTAATTGTGGCTCACTTTTAAAAAAATATATTCTTTGAAAAATGTGAATGCTCTTGAACTAGTTGTACCATGTACAACCAAACAGTAAGGATAGTGAAGTAATTAATGTGCAGAGTATGAGGCCCTTTTACGTGTGCTCTTAAGTGTCATTTGTATTAGGAGAATAATCATGGATCAGCACCAGGAATCAGATTTTTTTTAGTATCTTCCTCTGTTATGTGGCATATATACCTGTGACAAGTGACATTACAGAAGGTCATGTCACTTTTAACTGCTTGCTTTCGAGCGTTCTGATTTCCCTTGTGCTTTTCCTTTGTTTGATTAATATTACTTGATTCCATGCTACATTGTGGACAGTAAAATACAAAGAAGAGATTTTAAAGCAAATTTAAATAGTTTTATTCTTTAAACTTTCAGTAAAATCATTTTTTTCTATAAACAGATTTTGTGCCATCCAGTACTTCCAAAATGCTAAGGATGGCTAGCTGTGCTTGTAAAACAAATCCAAAAAAGGTAAATTACCAAAGACTAAAATGTGCTGTTAAAATGTCAGTGTTGGGCCACCCACTGACATATGACAATATTACTTACATATGAATAGAAGCACAGTGTTGAAGAAATTTTGTGTCTTATGTCCAAAAATAGTTTTAGTCAACTGCGTACTAAAATAGTGTTTCCTAAACTAGATGTATTTATTTCTAGTTGACTCCATGAGTCCTGATGAAAATTCAAAAACAGGTTTCTATACCAAGAATCCGATCATCTGTCAAACACGACTTTCCTCAAAAAACAACTTGTTCTGCAGTTTAGGAATACAGCTAACATGGAGAGATAATCTTTACCTTTTCGTTTTAGCTTTTGTCAAAAAAATGAGATAAAATATTGAATAATGTTTGTCTGCCTATTCCAACAGTGATTTTCAAAGTGCAAGAACACCAAATGAATGTTCAAGGCAAGCTCGACTTTCACTTGTAATGACTGGTTTGGGAATGGAATACGTTTAGAGATACAAAGACAGAATTATTTTTTAATCAACTGCCTCCATATTTTCCCACTCAAATGCTCAATGTTTTTGTGCAGAAAGCATTGTCTTTTTCACAACAGAAAGCAATGTTTTCTGTACAAAAATATTTATTTTTGAGTCCTTCACAAAAATTCCCAAAATGCACAAAAAATCATCAAAAAACAACAAAAATATCTCACAGCAGGTGGCAATCTTTCCAGCAGAATGTCTTTTTAATTTTATGGTACACATTCTCACCATAGACTAAAAAACAAAAAGTATTGCCTGCCTCTCTTATCATAGTTAGTGTTAATTCCACTTACTGACTTCAAGAACAAGATGAACAGTAATTAAATGGAAGTGGGAGCTTCCAAACTCTACCTCGCTTCCTGAGAGAAACAGCATGGAGATGAAAGTGCTGAGCTCAGGCACTTAGAGAGTGCTGTAACCCATTTTTGTCAGAATAAGATGCAGCATGCTGAACAAAACTATGATAACTACTGTTTTGTTGAATTGACTTTAAAATGTTAAAAGCAATAGATCTGCAATGTTTCTAATAAATTTCGGCTCTTCTCTCATGAATAGTTTATTTTATATACCTAGACTAATGACCTAGACTAATTTTTGTTTTTGTTCTGTTAACATATACAGTCGTATTCGTAATACAACAAAGATGAGGAACCTTACCAATCCTGTTTCCATCATTCCCAGTCATTATGCGCTTTCAGATGGTCAGGACGAATAGGCCTTGGTGTGTTGACTTTACTTGTTCTCCAAAATGCTGGCTGATATATTTGGAGTTTGTTTCTGAAAAGTATCAAATCCACCTGAACAAATTTTTACAGGAATCAGGAAAGAAACACGCTGAGGATATGCATTTTTTGCCATAAAATAGAATTTTCCAAGCTCTGTACTAAAGTGATTTGACACATTTTGATTATTTTGATCTTTATATATTTTACTCCTAGCCAACAATATGCTGCCGCCTGTAACTTATTTTGCAATATTTTGGGGAGGGGGGGGGGATTTTGGTACCTTTGGAAACAAACTCCACATATATATCTTTCAGTCCAGTTTGTTTGTATGTATGTGTGTGTGTGTGTGTGTATATATATATGTATATGTATATATATACACATACATACACACACACACACACACACACCATAGATCCCTTTCGTTGTAAATCCATTCTCCCCAACATAAGAGAGAACTTCCATATTACAACATGATTTTTGTGGCATTGTTTATTCTATGAAGTGTTTGCTGATATATATCAAAAAATCAAGTTATTATATGTATAAATGCTTGTTTCTAACCCCATTTCCCTTTTTGAGGAAGGACCTTCTTGGTAGTGGCCCCTGACTCTGGAATGCTCTCCTCAAGGAAATCAGACAAGCAGCCATTCTCTTAATCTTCAGGAAGAAATTAAAAACCTGACTATTTAAACAGGCTTTTGACAATGGCTAAGAATATAAACCATCTTAGCCAGCAGACTTTGAATGGCTGCTAGAACCATAATTCACAATTGTTGAATATCCTGACCATGGGAATTGGCTGGTTCAAGTGGCGTTTATAAGTTTTTAAATTAGTTTTTACTATTGTATTGTTATTTTTTGTATTAAGTGATATGTGTTTATTGTCTGTATTATATTTTTACTGTATTTTTTTTTGTTGTTGTTGTAAGTTGCCCTGAGTCTCTTCAGGAAGAGGGAGTAGGATTATTATTATTATTATTATTATTATTATTATTATTATTATTAGAAACACAACAAGTGAGTCCACAGCAGATACTCTGCTGGCTGTTGTATTGGATCACACGTCGGACACTTCCCAAGTGTCTAGGACTGTGTGATGTATCGGCAAATAATGCGTGCAGATCCCAGTAAGGTGGCCTTTTGCAGCTGGCAGATGGTAATTTTGTCAGCGCTGATTGTGTTTAAGTGCAGGCCAAGGTCTTTAGGCACTGCACCCAGTGTGCCGATCACCACTGGGACCACCTTGACTGGCTTGTGCCAGTCTTTGCAGTTTGATCTTTAAATCCTCATATACACTGACACTGTTCTTGCCGACAGTTAAAAAGGAGCTGAAGTCGTTCTCCTCAGCCTTCTGTCACCTGGGATTGCAACATCAACAATCCATACTTTGTTTTTTAACATGATCGTGAGGTCAGGAGTATTGTGCTCCAAAACTCTGTCTGAATTCGGAAGTCCCAGAGTTTTTGTTGTTGTTGTTGTTATTAATTCTCTAACAACTGTAAAATAGTCAGTGAGATAGTTTACATATTTTCACCACTGACAAGAAACAAATACTTCAATATGGTAAAAGTAGGACAATGTAATCTTTACTTCTAATCAGGAATCCACTTCATATTACTACCTCAGAAAGTTGTTGAAAAAATGTTTTTCCATTCCTATGACATATATGAATGTGTGTATATAGACAAACACTTCTCCCTCAATCTTGGATCCATTTGTGAATGGCCATCAAGTGAGGTTGTGATTTGGTCACGTAAGAGTTTCTGTCTCACGGGTTATTATTTTTTAACTACCTTACTGATCTTGTTCATAATTGGTACAGAATACGAAAGGAGATTACCAAATTTTATTTTTTGGATTTGAAGCCCGAGGTCAAAAACATAGATTACATATTTTTTCTTTTGTGTTTGAAAAAGTGCTAAACTACAGAAAGCTTAATGATTTGGCAGAACAAAACGCTTCTTTGTTGACTCATGATAACTGCTGTGGGCTTTTTTTCTGCAGGTAGTGGAGGACATGCTAGAGGACGAGGAAGAAGAGGATGACAGAGATGACAAGGTAATTATCTTTCCTAGCATTTGGGTACCTGGGGATGGGAGAATTTAGACATGACACTGTTCTTGCCGACAGTTAAAAAGGAGCTGAAGTGTTTTTAGTCCAGAAAATTGAACAGAGCTGTTTATCATCCTAACAATGCCAGTGTGTGTTGTAAGAAGCGATAGAGGACTATAAATCCTTTGCCTTTCTTTTTTTTGTCCAGAGCTGGGTCATTTTTTTCTTCCTACTTCGGAACAAAAATAATTCAGCTTGTCTGGAACTTGATAGCTGTTGTGAAGATAAGTGCAGTGACAACTGCTTTTGAAGGACAAAAATTTGTCCTGTCTTGAGTATTACAAATAGGGCTGCAGTTACTTGTGGGAGCAATGCTGTAAAAATAGAAACACCATAGTGTTTGAAGGTGGTCTATTGCCATCTATAATTTTCTGAGAATTACTTGGCAGAAGAATGTTTGGTGTGTGGTGTACTCTGTATGATATTTAAATAATCACAATTCTCAAAGGCCTCTTACAGATGGATTTGGGATTGGTATTGTGTGGCCCAGCATCAACCAAAAAGGTCTACAGTCGCTCTTTCAGCTCTTGTGAGTGTTGCTCAGTTCCTAGGTTGCTGGTCAGGTTGAGGACCGCCACCACAGTAAATAACAGCTAGTTTATACACTATATTGAAGTAAGCAATAGGACTGCAAGGCTGTCCCTAGAGGAGAGAGAAGAGGCACAGAGAGGAAATTAGAATGACCTTGGAAGAGAGAAGCAATGGCATGAGCTGGCAAAGCTGGTTCTGGAAATAAAAGTGCAGCAAGATAAATGCTTTTTGAAAAAGTTTAAAACGAGAGAATTCAGACTGTGAGCTATTAAGATTTTTTTCAAGCACTTCATATTAAATATAGAAAACGTTGACCTTCATAAATGATCTTGTACTCTTGTTGTAATAAAGCATTGGCTTTTTTGAAGGCAGGAGGGAAAATACATCTTAATTTATGCTCTTGACCTTTATTGCTAGTAGAGATGTACAATTCTAGACCACTGTAAGAATTTGTAGGCAGACAACCAGCAAACATTTGAATTGCCATAAAACTGCTGTGATTAGTCCAGTCCTCCGAACAATTAAAACTCAGGTTTTGAAAGATTTAAATACAAACATTTCTTTATTTTCTCACATGACAGTAAGAGACACAAGCATTAAACCTCTCAATAAGCATCTAAATGGTTTTGCTCAAAGCTCCAGTGATGGAATTATATCATCTTAAATTTCCTTTGTACAAAGCCAAGTGTTTTACTCTTCATTTCTAAGTTTGTGTGTATGTCTGGCACTGGAATGTATGATTTGTTGTGAAGGTCAGTCATGTAGGTCTAGTTAGCTTGTATATTAACTCGAAAACATTTGCTCTCTGATAAATGCAGGTCTGCCTCCTATCTATATTTTCCTACACTTGTCCATATTTATTTAGAATTACAGCTTATTAAGCAGAGGTATCTAGAAGTTTGTAAATGCATGGAACTGTTAATAGCTGCAATCTTTCAAATGCGTGCACTTTAGTGTTTCATATGACTTAAATAAAACTCAGCTTGGTAACTACTTGTCTTATTCTGTTGTTGCTAAATAATCAATAAAGTTGACTTTTCCTGTGGAAAATACATGACAAGCAAAACATATTAAGTTACAAATGATACCTATTAACCCAATCTGCATCATTATTTAATATTTGACCATTTGAATCAGATGCTTTTATGCAATGAAATTTTATGCATATTTTCCAAAGCCAAAAAGGTTTGTTGGTATAAATGATGTATGAATGTAGAGCTTTTTCCTTATACAAAAATTATTTGAACTGAAAATTTATAATTAATTCTTATTTAATTTTAATATGCGTCATTGTATATATATGGCATGGAAAGAATTTATACAGGATTATTTTGCCAAGCAGGCGAGCATTCATGAACGAGATGTTGTATTTTTTTGGATGTGAACATGCACAGAATTTTAAAATGGATTTTTAAATTGAATATGTAAAATGAGTTTTAATTCTCTCTACCTCAAACTGGAGAGTATTCATATGGATAGTTCAGGTCTTCTAAGTGTGTGCATAATACAGTTTTGAGAGAAAACAAATATAAATTCTGCAGTGCTGATTGATGCTGACCTCTAGCTCTCATTACTTTTCTGTTTTCTCATTTGGTAAAATAGCAAAGTAAGGTCAGCAGGTCCTCTTATAGAATAAAAGTCAAAAGATTAATAAATGTGCCAAAGCCTCACTTTAATTGAAGCTGAAGCATATGTTGCAAGCATATAAAATATGTCCCAGATGTTTGACCATGCCATGTAACTTAGTTTTCCCCGATTACCACAAGGCAACTATTAGTCCAGTAACCTTTGGACTTGGGGGTAAATGGGGTATTACATGGCAGACAACTAAAGCACCTGTTTTCCATTCAATAAAGATCTCTGGCAGGCTTTACTTAAGCTGCTCCATATGTTTTCACTTAGCAGATTGTTGGGTGATTATGAAAAGTGTCTGTCTTCAGAACTGGTGTGGATATTAGCCACTTACTCACAATGAATGGATAACTTATTGACTACTTCTGCAAAGTCTGTGTGGGCACTCGCTAAAGTATTGTGGACAGGTTTTCATTCTTCACAGATTCTCCCCCTCAAAAAACTTTCAGGTTCATACACAGAAGAATTAATAATCCTCTAATATCTTTCTATTAATGCTCCCATCTATTACTGTCGGTGTTGTTGTTATTTTTATTGTTAACTGCCATCAAGTCAACTTTGACTTATGGCGACCTCCAGATCACCTTATCACCCACAGCCCTGCACAATTCAAGTCTAGGAGTGAGTCTAGATTTTCTTTATTCTCATAAAATATCGGTCTAATTAAGTCTTGCTCACTGAGAAGTCTGTCACATAGTTCAGACTTGCCTCTTGGCTTTCATCAATGTATGCACCTTGCAGTATGTATTTTCAAGATTTTTTTTCAGCTGAAATCATGAAGCTAAATGGATTTAAAATATATAGGTTACTTGTTTGCCACTACCCTATTATTAATTCACCCTATATTGGGGAAAGATTTAGATGAGGAACTCAAATCAACATTCAGAATTAATCACGTCTGACAAAGTTGCAAAATTCAGTTTTTAAAAGATGATGGTTGGTATATTTTTGCTGCTTGTTCTGCAAACTGCTCTTCTAGCTACGTTGAGATTTGTGGTTAGTTAATATATGAAAAGTGATGTTAGGGGTTTCAGATCTTTTCATTTAAATAGGTATGCCTGCCATATTGTTGGCTGAAAATTGTCAAAGCAGTTGCTTTGTATGGAGAGGACTATCGCAAAGTTGATGATTGTAGGAAACTGCTGACCTCATTTCTTCCCTTTGTAGACATTTTTACTTAAAAAGGAGAGGAAAATTATATTCCTTCCCTGTGTTCTCTGCCACTATAATATTGCAGTGTTTCTTACTATGACTCATATCCACTGTCACCAGTACTTCAAAAATATTCCCGTAGCCTTGTACCTTAAGCATGAGATGACACCACTCTGAATCCAGAGTGTTCATGGAAACTTACTTTACTATTGTACAGAATGTAAGTTGGTTCTTGACACTAAAATAAATATTTGGAAACAGCCTGTAACTTCAAGAAAGAGAATTTTTCTGTTTTAACCTCATAACAACTTCTGTCATGTAGTCCAAATTCCTCAAATTCACCCTAGAAAATGTAATATTTATTCCCAAGAATTATCTCTTGCCCTAGCCTATCTCATCATCTCTCAGTCCTAAGAAGAAACATTTCTAGCCAATCGAAAATTAAAGTCTTTCATACAAATCAGAATAGGTTTACCTGGTCAAGCCCCATCTAGGTATTTAAAATGATTCCTCTCTGCTGTCACTGAGCAACCATTAATACACAGACTTGCAACTTTACAATAACACACAACATAAACATAAATTAATGCCTATAGCATTTATCAGTTACTAGGGTTCATGACTTGGTAGAGAGGAGAAGATCAGCAATTTTAGAGAGTAAAAGAAAACAAAGGAACTGTTTGGTTTTTGTACTCTGTTGGTCAAAAGAACTCACTTTTGTAATTTTGGCTTTCCCAAGACATGCTTGAAGTAGTGCTAATTATACTTAAAAGGCAATCAACAAATAACGAGGCATGTGTCTTCACAAATTTTACTACAGTATTTCTAGGGACTGTCATTCTTTTTTTTAAAGCTGCCTTTCCTGTTAAATGTAAAATTAGCCACATTAACATTTTCTTTAAAGTGTTAATAATTGGAAAGCATTCTAAGCATCACTTGCAAAAGCAGTTTTAATCCATCATCATGCAGCAAGCATTTCTGATCTCACATCAGGGCAATTGACATCAAAAGCAGCACTGTATGGTTCTGAATTAAATTGCGGTAACCATTCTGAGTTCGGCATTGAGAAGATCACATTTGGACTTGTGTTAGTCTCTTTGGGACTAAGGGTTTGCAAACTATTGAATAAATTAGTCTCATTCATGCAAGTGGGTTTTTCGTTCCTTTTCAGAATAGTGTAGATAACAGTAATCCTTGTATTAGGTAATCCAAATATAATAGAAGCCATGATGAAGGATATGTTTCTACTTTATTAACTGTGCAGGAGAAGGTTAGGTATTTTAAAAAGATTTTTCTCATGATAATTAAAATCCCTCTCAATGAATACATATTTCAGCCATGTGAAAGGGGGCACATGATTATTCACACAAAATATAACAATACAAAATATACATTTCACTATGTATTTCTGTATCTAGGATTATTTTATGTATATTAGGTTAAAACTTTTATTAATTGTACCTCTAAATTGAGACAAGATATTTTAAAGCAACGCATTTGAAATAGTAAAGGGAATATTAGGGGAAAAGGTTGTCAGACCAATCTTCTGTTCATCACTACTCGCTATGTACCTTCTTGATTATAGGAGCATTACTTCAACAAATGTCTAGCATTGGATGGCAGAGTGTGTA